AATAAAATCATGTTCTCTCTTTTCTATGCCTTTACATTTATTGTATTCCTTTGGCCTTTATAAATAAAACAAACAATAGCTATAATAAACCCTTGCCCAAAGTGAGTGAAAATTCTAACTCCTTTTCTCATGCTCATATAGCAACCAAGGACTTTGAAGTTCCTCATAAATATCTGTATGCCAACAATATTTAATTTTTATGTTCAGGTAACCCCAGTGCTATCGATGTGAAAGTATGACCCCGTATTTTTTTAAATCACTCCTCCTACCGTATTCAAATAGAGCTATATGTAACTGTCATCTGGAATAACAATATTAAATGGAGTATTTTTTCTAACTAAAATATTAAATCCTTAAGGATTAGTGTTTATTTGACCGCTCATTTACTTATTACGAGGACTTTGTTAGCCTTTTCTCTACTGTACCTCTGCTCCACATAGCCATTTTGATGTGAAAATTGTTGCTTTAGAGGATCACTTTGCCACTACGTTGCTATTTTATTATTGTTATTATATTTAATGGGAATGCTACTATTGTGTAAGCCGGGAGAGTTCTTTCAACCTGGGAGCATTTACTTCAAATACTATAGAGTGAGTGAGTTATTTATTTATTTATTTTCATTTCCTTAAAATATCAACTTTGATTAATAATTATATATAGGCTTTGTTCTTCTTATCTGGGTGTCAACAGTAATTGGAATCCATATCCATATCCTACCTTGCAATCATGCTGCAAAAGGCCAATAAACTCCCGCTGAGTGTGTTACTTGTTAAATTTAGTGCATTACATTCAGGGTAATGAATAAAAGCAGTGGGCCGTCACCGTCTGGCTGGCTGCGGAAGGCGAGAGCAGGCGACTCCCCTGAGGCCTTGAGCTGGCTTACAACGGTGACAGGCGGAATCAAGGGAGTCCCGGAGCATCACAGTTCAGTTTGTCTCCCTTAATTTCCTCCTTCTGTAGAGACTCGGAAGGCTGTAGGGAGGTGAAGTAATCTTAGCCATTAATTCACCACACTTTCATAAAAAGCTGCATGCTCTGGTTTCATTAACAAGCAAATACAATTTAGATAAATAGTCATGTATTTACATTCAGCAGAGAGATGAGAATACCGTTGAATATAAACTAGTGGGTATGCACCACGCAGTCCACTTTGTGTATCTACATATGTCTATTGTGTATTCATTTGTCAATATTAAAGATGCACATAGGTATTTTTATATGAGTGAGGAACCAGTGAAGCAAGCCCCAAAGATATATATGTACTTATTTCCATCTCTTATTTATTGAACATACATAAGCAGTTACTGAAGAAATGGCTACCACCTTCTTACGCCTACATGTAGCTCTTTGCTAATGAATATATTATTGATACAAAAACATTCTTTCTTAAACTAAAATATAAGAATTTAACATATAGTATAAATGTACAAACGCAAGAATGTCAGAGCACCCTGGTCTATAATCTCAGGTAATTGGGGTTTTTTTCTTGGTAATGGAGAGTTTTTATTATCTCAGCAAATAATTGTTGTGTACTATGTCTCATGCCAAAGCCAGCTGACTCCTTTAGTCTAATTTTGAATATTAATATACATCCAGAAACAAATAGATTCTTAAAGAAAGGAGGAAAAATAATTTGTATGAAATGACCACTTAACGTTATTCTTGAATACCTTGGAAAATTTAGCGTAGAGTGTCCTTCGCTATCCATGATAGAGCAGCTGGTTCCAAATAACATGGTGTATCTCATTAGAGAGATATTAGATCTAATTATGCAACATATAAGTGAGATCATTATAGTAACATTATCTCAATGAGGTAAGTAAAGCACACGTGAAATCTAACACTCTGCTGCTTGAGAGAATTTTTGAAAGCAAATGTGAAGAATTAATGATCACTTAAGTGTACTTTGAAAGATGTTGAAAACCAGTCATGAATCTTTGACATGTAATGGAAAAATATAATAGAATGGTAGGTACCCTGATTAATTCTACTGAAGATAAAAATGAACTTCCTAGGCAAAATAAAACAAGAATAGCAGAAGAGTCATAAGTTTTATTGTTTGTTCTATTACCTTTTTGGGCATTTTTATCATTGTCAGAGATCCTCAAACTTCAGAGTCTAATAGAATCACAGAGAAGATTTGTTAAAACAAATTGCTGGCCCCAACCTCAGAGTTCCTGATTCAGTAAGGTTGGGTGGAACCTGAGAATTTGCATTTCTAAAATTCCCAAGTGATGCTGATGCTGCTGGTCCAGGTATTCTTTGAGAACCACAGGAGTATGTGAAAATCACTATAGAAGACACGTAAGTCAACTGAACTGGATCATTTTTCTCTATAATTAAAGTCCAAAGATCCCATATTCTGCTTGATATTTTTCAGTCAAGCTCTGTATCTTCAGAAATTCCAATTCTATTACAAAAAAACATATCTTTAAAATGTAATTAAGGATACCTGCCTGACAAGTGCTTTGGCATATTTTTAACAACATATTTTTTAAAAACACACAATAAAATGGATACCACCTAGCAGGGAAGAGGCCAAAAATAATGAGAAGTTCTAACTCCATGAAGCTAATATAGCTTGTTGTTATCTGTAGATATTCTCTCTTTCCTAAGAGGTTTGAGTATGCTAACTACTAAATTGATTGATTTTAATGTACAGCATCATGACCACAGTTAATAATACTGGCTCATACACTCAAAATTTGCTAAATGTACAGATCTTAAATGTTCTCATCACACACACACATAAAACGTTAAATATGTGAGATAATGGATGTGTTAACCTGATTGTAGTTATATTTCACAACATATATATATATATATATCATACTATCACATTGTACATTTTATTATTTAAAGGATTTTATTTATTTATTTGAAAGAGAGATAGAGAGCATGAGCAGGGGAGAGGGAGAAACAGGGAGCCCTGATGTGGGACTCGATCCCAGGACCCTGGAACCATGACTTGAGCCAAAGGCAGATGCTTAACCACCTGAGTCATGGGTGGCCCCCACATTGTACTTTTTAAATATATACAATTTTATTTGTCAATTATACTTCAATAAATCTGGAAGAAAAAATTAAAAATAAATTGGTTAATGCCCTCAAACAAATTTTAAATTTAAAATAATGAATGAATGAATGAATGTTGTTTCCATGTGTAAAACAACTGGCTGATACCTTTCATTGTAAAGTAATAATAACTACAGTTTGAATGGTTTTGTTAATTTATTACCTAATGGTGTGTTTAGAAAGAAGTGCATAATAAAATGCCACCAAAAGTTTACAAAGAGTGTTTTCCTTTTTTTTTTTTTTAAGATTTTATTTATTCATTCACGAGAGACACAGAGAGAGAAAGAGGCAGAGACACAGGCAGGGGGAGAAGCAGGCTCCATGCAGGGAGCCCAACACGGGACTTGATCCTGGATCTCCAGGATCACACCCTGAGCTGAAGGCAGGCGCTAAACCACAGAGCCACCCAGGGATCCTCCATTTTTCTTTAAAAAAAAAAATCTGTATCCTTCCTCAAGTTAAGCATTATAATTATTATGGTAATAATAACTGAACATGGTAATAATAATAATTGAACAGTGTTTGCAGGGCATTTCCAGGGAGAATATTTTCTTGATTCTACTCAGGTAGGCTTCAAACTTTGATAATCTGGTTCATATTCTGAATTCAAATGTCGAAGTCACCACAAAATAAACATCTATATGGCAGGCTGTCTAAAAATAAAGAAAAAAATGGTAAGACCTCAATATTGTGACCATAACTTCAAATTTTCTTATGGAAGTGATCCCCAACCAAATGTATGAAACAGTTCTTAATTTTGAAAAACCGGGGACACCTGGGTGGCTCAGTGATTGAGTGTCTGCCTTCAGCTCAGGGCATGATCCTGGAGTCACAGGATCAAATCCCACATCCAGCTCCCCACAGGGAGCCTGCTTGTCCCTCTGCCTATGTCTCTGTGTCTCTCATTAATAAATAAATAAAATCTTATTTTTTTTTGAACAGTTGGGTTACATTCTGTTCCGTGTGGGTTTTAGCTGAGCTGTCCTTCAAATGCTGGGCCCTCTTGTCTCTAATCTCACCCCAAAACAGAGTTGGATGCCTCATTCACCTGCATGTTTAAAATGATGGAATAGTTATTGCAATGATACAAGTGTTTTCCGTTTTGATGAAGTTATCACAGTCCTAAAAAAAGCTGTTTCCCAGCATCTCTTTTTAAGTACCCCTAAAAGCTCTTATGTTGCATTAAATCTATAGGCACAGCTAGACTAAGGGTTCAGACTTAAACTGACTCTCCTATGTGTGTGTGTTTTTTTTTAAGATTTTATTTATTTATTCATGAGAAGCACAGAGAGGCAGAGACATAGGCAGAGGGAGAAGCAGACACCTCTCAGGGAGCCTGATGTGGGACTCAATCTCAGGACTCTGGGATCACAACCTGAGCCAAAGGCAGACACTCAATCACCAAGCCACCCAGGTGTCCTCTCTCCTATGTTTTTATTCCTGGTTGCACTCTATCATCACATGAGAAGCTTTAGAAAGTACTGTTGAGTGGGTCTCAACCACAGTAATTCGGACTTAATAGGTCTGGTGAGTAGCTAGGTCATTAGAAGTGTCTAAGAATCTTCCCACGTGATTACAACGTGCAGCTGAGTTTGAGACCAATGTTTAGTTACAGGTGAATCCATTAAAAGGGGTAAAACAATGAAGTCCGTGTAAGTGCCACACATTCTGAGTATTAGCACATGGGAAATAGTAAAGTGTCTATTCCCATTAGAAGGGATTTATGTGTATGTGTGTGTTTGTGACCATGGCAGAGATGGGACTGTCAAAGTAAAATCTGTATTATGGATTTATCATAATCTTGGTGATAACATGTTTATGGTAATTTGCACTTACAGAAGCAGCACTTATTATGGCAGTTTAAGTTCACTTGGTCATGCTCTTATCTTCTCTCTCTTGTTCTACTGCATTGGTTCCTTTACCAGAACTCCTGAAAACATATGATGTGCCAGCCATTGTGCAAGGACAGGAATGCAGCAATGAGTGAACATAAAGGTAAATTTACATAATCATTGGTAATATGCTGAGAAAACTGGATGCAAATGTGAAGATTATTGGCAAAATAAAAGACAAACATTTTCTAAAAAGTAAACATCATCATCAGTTGGTATTAAATTATGGATTATGTTGACAGAAATTAGCAAGGGTATGTGGACATGGAAGTGGGAAGGAGGAGTGAGAGGATTATAAAGGAAAAATATACCAAGATTTTCATCTCTGAGAGGAGTCAACTGTACTGCTTTATTCTTGGCTTTGATAATGACTCAAGTATAAGGTATAAAGAATGTATGGAGATATTTTAAGGGAAAATATAAACACATGTAAACTATAAACATGTGCAACTACCAAATCACTAGAGAAGAATGATGGAATTTAAATAACTAAAATCAAGAAAATAGGGATAACTGGGTGGCTCAGAAGTGGAGCATCTGTCTTTGGCTCAGGGCATGATCTTAGGGTACTGGGATCAAGGCCCACATCAGGCTTCCTGCGAGGAGCCTGCTTCTCCCTCTGCCTATGTCTCTGCCTCTCTCTGTGTCTCTCATGAATAAATAAATAAAATCTTGTGGGGGAAAAATATCCTGCTATTTCTTGGCTTACATAAATAAAATATTATTTTTAAATCAAGGAAATAAATAAAAGAAAAAGTTAATAATTGACATCTATAAATACTTATACCCTACAAACAGACACTACACATAGTTTTTCAAGCATCTATAGTTTATTTAGCAAAATAGATCAGTATTAGTCAAAAGAAACTAAGTGATAAATAATAGAAATAACAAATCACATGTGGTCAAAATTGAATAGTACTAAAAATAATTTTTTCATAAAAATATCTCCAAAAAATTTTTAAAATAAACATTAAAACAAAGCAACATTAAATAAACCATTTGCCTAAATGACTATTAGGACAAACTAGAAAATAAAACTACAATCATACACTATTTAGGAATCTAACATTATAGCACACCACATTTTAACACAAGTATAGTACCAAAGCAACTCTCAGAGACAAATTCATAGGCCTTAGGCTTTACTACATAAAAAATAAATGTAAATGAATCAAGTCTTTATCTCAAGACATAAGTAGATGATAATAAATCAAAGAGATGAAACTTGAGAAGCAATGTAAATTTAATTGAACTAGGGAAATGTAAAATCAACACATGAATCATGAACCAAATCCATTTATTTTTAGTTTTTTAGAGAGAGAGTTGGAAGGGGCAGAGGGACAGGAAGAGGAAGAATCTTGGCAAGGAGCCTAACATGCAGCTTGGTATCACAACCCTAAGATCATGATCTGAACCAAAATCAAGAGTCAGATGCTTAGCCCACTGAATCACCCCGGTGCCCCATGAACTAAATCAATTTTTAAGGAAAAATATCTTTAATTTTATGTAAAGAGTAAGGATCAAAAAAATAGAAACTAGCAAGAGAATATAACAAATAGGAAATGAAAAAAGAGAGGGTAATCCTGTTGGTAATTGACTTGACTAATCTTGAAGGTAATTGCAGTTTTCTTTTTTTTTTTTTTAAGATTTTATTCATTTATTCATGAGAGACAGAGAGAGAGAGAGAGAGAGAGAGAGAGAGAGAGAGAGGCAGAGACACAGGCAGAGGGAGAAGCAGGCTCCATGCAAGTAGCCCAAACTGGGACTCGATCCCAGGATTCCAGGATCACACCCTGGGCTGAAGGCAGGTGCCAAACCGCTGAGCCACACAGGGATCCCTGGTAATTGCAGTTTTCTTGATGAAATACAGTAGAGCTCTTGTCTGTGGGGGGATACATTCCAAGATTCCCCCCCAGTGGATGCCTGAAACCACAGATAGTACCAAATCCTATATTTGCCATATTTTTCCTAAGTGCATATTCCTATGATAAAGTTTAATTTATAAATTAAGCATTATAAGAGATTAACAACAAAAACTAATAATCAAATAGAACAATTATAACAATATATTGTAATATAAGTTACATGAACATGGTCTCTCTCTCTCTCTCAAAATATCTTATTGTCCTGTACTCACCCTTCTTGCAGTATTGTGAGATGATAATATGCCTGTGTGATTAGATGAAGTCAGATGAATGATGTGGGCAATGGAACATAACAGGATGCTATTGTCCTTCTGACAATATGAGGGAAGGATGACTGCTTCTGGACTGTGGGTAACTGAAATGCAGAAAGCAAAACTGTGGATAAGTGGAGGACTATTGTATTAGTAAATATAACTTGTATAGAGTATTAAAATAATACCCCATAATACATCAATACTTCCATTTATCTCAGCCACATGTAGATAATTTAAATAACCAATATCTCATGTTTGAACTTTCCATATGTCTGTCCATGTTTTTAGTTTTCTTATATGGCCCATAAATATGTTCTAAGTATTTTTCTTACAATTTTATACTTTTGTACAAATCTGAGTCATTTCTTTCCATTACATTTTTACCTGGTTATTGCTGAATTAGATAAGTCACATAATTTCACACACACTACAGTTTGGATGTCAGCAGAAAATATAGTGCCCATAATCTAGTCTTTCTCTCAAATCCACATGCAGAATTTGTCAGAAAAACAGTTTTCAATCTCTTTAAATGTACTCTGATCTGCTACGTTAGAAGATACTCAATCCTTCGGTCATAATTTCCTGGGAATTACAAGTTGATTAGAGATTCAAATCTGCTGCTTAGCAGGGTCTGAATTCCAGTTTTGGCTCAGGTAAGGGAACATATTTTAAAATGTCAACATTTTAAATCAATATCATTAAATTGTATGCAGAGTGGGTTTTTTTTTTGTAATTTTCTTAAAGATTTATTTATTTATTTTAGGGGGGGGCAGGCAGAGAGAGAGGGAGAGAAAGAGAATCCAAGGAGACTCCCTGATGAGAGTGGAGCTCAGCGCAGGGGTCAATCCTAGGATTCTGAGATCATGCCCTGAGCTGAAATCAAGAGTGGGACACTCAACTGACTGAGGTGCCATGTGCCCCACGTGTATGTTTCTAAAGTTTTTACGATATTTTTCATTTCATTTCATAACAATTTTATAAAATGCTTCATTTTATTTATTTATTTTTACTTTTAGCAGATATGCTATATTTAAAAATAAATACATGTCAGTGGACTAGAGACTCACATTTTACTTTCTGCTACATTTGTTTATCCTATCATCACTCCTTGGATTTTAATTTTAATGCTCTTGGGAAAGACTCTTCCTCCCAACACTCCCCCACCTCCCCTACTTGTTGTGCTTCATTTGGTTTATTGGTGTGGTGAGAGCAGAGCTGACTCATAGGATCCCTATAGACTGGACATTAGGATATGGCCCTCTACCACAGGAATAGCAAAGTGGTACCTCAAGCTTCTTCCACAAAGGCTGATCCAGTCCAAGCCCTTCCAGACTTTGTTCTTCTTACTCTACCAATCTAGGTCTTATAATAGGCAGAGAGCTCTCCATCACCAGGAGCATTAGGCAGGACAAGCTTCCACCAGTGTCTATGTTCCAGGATCTCATTCTATGAATTTACTTTTGTCTTCAGAGACTGGAATACTTCATACTTGCCAACCTATGCTTGGAGAGGATCAATCTGTGTCATCTTTTCCCCAATTTCTTAGCATCAAGTATTTTTTCATTCACTAATGCCCCACCTAGGATATCTAATGGAAACTGATATATCAAAGATGAGATGAGCATAAACGTTCATAGAGGAAAGTAGAGAAGTCGTAGTCTAAATATATTCAACCATGAAAATAATTTAGAATATATAAAAGTGCAGAATGTGTCACAAAAACATAAGATACACCAATGAGGGTAGATTTGAAATACCAATTCAAAGCAGACTTTAACCCTTGAGCCAGGCTCAATACTTTCCTTCCTTAATTAGGAACTTACTGTATATCAGACATTGTGTCTAAGAAATGTGCATATATAATCACATTAAATCTTTCCATCAGTTAGGTTTTTTTTATTGCCTTTCATTTTTAGATAAGAGAACTAAAATTTAGAGAGGTTAAGAAATTGGTCCTTTGTGATACAGACAATAAATAGCAAATAAATCTTGATTCGAATGCTAATTTTGCACGTGATTGTAAGTTTGTAAGCACAATGTTACAATGTTATGTGTTACTTTTATTGATTGGAAAAGATTGAAATCCAATTCACAGTTTTAGGAAAAGCAGAAGTCATAGAAAAGACCCTGAGGGGATTCAGAGGAACCGAAGACAGGAATGTAGCTGGGCCTCTGGATCATCAGAAATCAGCCACTGGAACCCTGTCCAGATTCGGTTTCCATCCGCCTCTACTCTTATCATATCCCTCCTTCCCACACCCCCTACTTATTCCCTTTCCCTCTACCCTCCATGATGACCATCATTGGCTTACTCACTTCCATTCACATGGTGGAAAATCAGTTGCCATAAGCTTTCTATCTCCTAGTTCACACACTCAATGCCCAAAAAAAGATGAACTTCACTCACTTTGGAACACAGAGCCCACAATTCAAGGGGATGGAAAACTTTGACCAGGTTTAGGTCATTGCCCATTCAAAAAAATCATTAATTCATTCACTTAAATCAAAATTATTTTGGGAATGTTCCATGTATCTGACCCTGTCCTGAATACTAGGAATATAGGGGTGAACCAGAGAGTCAAGATCTTACATTCTAGAGGATATTCAGGTAATAAGTAAGTTAAAATATAAATATTTGAGAGGCAAGGACATATATAAAACAAAGATATAAGCCCATCTCTAATGGTGCTAAATCAAAACAAGGTAGTATACATAGCAAGCAATGGGATGGAGGTCAACATTAGATAGAGTTATAAGAGGATATTTCTTGGAGATGACATTAGAGCAGAGACTCAAATGACAAGAAGAAACCAGCCATCAAGAAATCAAAGAAGACTGTTGTAGGAAGAGAATATAAAAGGCACAAAGTCAATGAGCTGAGAATACTCAAGATGGCTAGAACTTACTAAGTAGATGAGAGA